TAGAAACAAGTTCAAAACAACAACCGGAATCCACGGAACTAAGTCCGGATACTACAATCAAAGGAGAAAGAACCGGGATCGCTATAGTTATGGTAAGAATTTGAAGCTCTCGGTGATTATAGATCATTCTGCCATAATATATCCTATATTTGATTATTTAATAAAGGAAGTTGGTAGACTTTTGAGTGTGGTCACATATGTGGTGGCCCTTTTCCAAAAGTGTTGTGTGAATATCATTATTTTTCTATTGTTTCTCTGAGACATTTAATTTTATAAATTGTTTCTCTCTCCTTATTTTAACTAAAATGTAGAGTTAATTTGTGGAACTGATATCTCAACATAGAAGTGTTATATGTAAGAATATCTATGTCATTAACAGAGAAAGCTTTTAAGCCTTCTTAACATTTTATAGGCACCCAACTAATGAATTTTATTTTTTTTTTCAGATGATTTTGGACATACAAATGTGGATATATAATTTTTTGACAATTACGGGAGGGCATTGTTTTTATACCTCTATTTGTATATAGTGGTTCGAACAAATTAATTTGGTTATTCATGTATTATGTATGGATTTAAATTATTGACGTTGGATTAGACTTGGAGTGTATGGAATTTGTATGGATTATGTATGGATTATTGACCCTAATATATTTTAGTGTTGATGGATTATATTGTTTATACAGGGTACATGTAATATAAATGAATGCAGGTTGTTTACAATTTGTTTTTTTTTTTAAAAAAAAAATAGAAAATTATTTGGCCACCAAATGTTTTGGTAGCCAAATAGGTAATCAAAAGTTTTGGCTACTAATAATTTAGTAGCAAAAACATAACCCAAAACGTTTTTGCCACCAAATAATTAGTAGCTAAAAAATTTGAGAATTAGAGAAATAAACTATTGGCTACTAAATTTTTTAGTCACGGAAAAAATGGTATCATTTGGCGACTAAAACTTTTGGTGGCAAAAAGTAAAGAAATGAATCTTAATAGGTTTTTGGCTACGAACAGTTTTAGTCGGCAAAAGTCACCACGCCTAAGGTAGAACTTTTAGTGACTAAATGGTTAGTAGCCAAAAGTTTAATAAAATGAAAAATAATATTTTTGGCGACTAAATTCTTTAGTCCCTAAATGTAGTAATGTTGTGACTAAAACTTATTCCCGACAAAAAGTTTTAGTCGCTGAAAATTTAATTTATTTTATTTGAACACTTTTGGCGACTAAATATTTAGTCGCCAAAATATACCCTTTCCCGACTACTCAGAGTTTGGTAGCCGAATGTTCACTTTTGGCGACTAATATTTTAGTCGCCAAAAGATAACCTTTGCCGACTAACCAGAGTTTAGTAGCCAAAACGTTCACTTTCAGCGACCAAAAATAGTTTAGTCGCCAATACTATCGCCGACAGGCTATAGGCGACGACTTTGGCGACAAAAAATATTAGTCGCTAATGTGTTTCGGCGACCAAAAATGGGGCTTTTGGCGACCAATATTTTGGTCGCCAAAAGTGGCATTTCCTGTAGTGTATCACCTTTGAAGCCAATGTAATATTTTAAATTTAGATATGAAGAATGGATTTGAGAGCTTTGTCATGATGGATTCCAAATAACTTTGTACAAAATACATGAAACATGCCTCTATTCAATCCTCTACTTTAGTGTTATCATCTACTTTGAATAACTAATCTTCTTATATTTTTTTTATAAAATTCCAACTTCAAATCCCTTCATTTTATACCAAGCTGGGCTATGTAGTTTTTGATTGTTTTACTATGAAGTTTTGGGGTTGGACTATCAACCATTTTCCTAAGGTAGAGAGAGAAAGAGAGAGAGGCTATTTCCGTGGTTGTAATGTGAGTGTTAAAAAGTTTGATAATTTGCTTAGTGGTTAATCTATTTACTAAGTTGTTCTTACCCATTCATGATTTTGAGTTTTTCATTGACAATCTATTTATGATTTAATTTTTATGGTTGTAGAGAGAACAGAGTGTTCCTAGAAGTTTGAATTTGCACATGGCACTAATAGCTGAACTAATAATCCATGTCTTATGAATTTCTAATTATTTGTTTCTTTCCGCTATCTTTGAGAACTAGATGAAATAACCTCACATTTTCTAAAAGCTAGATATTGGGTTTTCGGATTTGGAAACTTTGTTGGGGTAGTAGAGGTCAACAGAGTTTCACCCACCAATTAATCTAGCTATGGGTTATGAATTACACCGTGCCTTCATGCACAGTCATACGCTAGTATTAATTATATTCGAGCTTTATTGTCATATTTTTTAATAATTTTAAATATGCCAAAATGTAGTCAATACTAATGATTAATTTTATTTGTACAGATGGTTTTTGGCGTGGAATTGCAGTGTACGACTTTTTTTGAGAAGTAAGAAAGACATTGTTTTTAGTCTACAAATTAGTATTGTTCATACATATTAGTTTTATGGCGTGGTACAGCAGATTGAATTTGACGTGGTATAGATTAATTTTTTATGTGGTACAGATTACCTTTTGATGTAGTACAGATTACTTTTTTGGCATGGTATAGATTACCTTTTGGCGTGGTACAAATTAATTTTTGGTGGTACAGATTAACAATTGGATATTAATTTGTTTAATCCTATGTTATGTATGGGATTATATTTTTGAGATTGGATTATACTTGGTTTGTATAGAATTTCTATTGGAAATATTAATTTGATGTTAAATATGAATTTTTTTATGGTTGAAAGTGAAATGTGTGCATGTTGTGGAATAGTTGCTAATTTTATCAATATATGGATAATTTTATATATATACAGAGTACAGATTGTATTGATAATGGAATAAATACAGGTGGTTGAGAAATTAATTAAAAACAAATTACAAATTTTTTGGCAACTAAATATTTTGGTAGCCAAAAATGCAAGCAAAGGTTTTTCATGACTAAATATTTAGTAGTAAAAAGAAACAAAAGACTTTTCGCGACCAAATAGTTAGCAGCTAAAATAAGTCAAGATGAGGGAAGTAACTTTTGCCGACTAAAGATTTTAGTCACGAAAGAACATGGCATCCTTTGGCGACTAAAATGTTTGGTCGTAAATTACCATGAAATGAAAGTATTTAATCTTTTGGCGACTAAAATGTTTCATCATGAAAACTAACAGTAACTAAATATTTTGGCCGCTAAATGTATTATTATTAGTGACTATAATTGTTAGTCGGTAAATGTATTATTATTAGCGATTAAAATGTTTTAGTGACTAAATATTTTAGTCGTTGAAAGAGAATTTCATTTTGATTTAATTACTTTTGACGACTAAATATTTGGTTGCCAAAACATTATGTTTGGCGACTAAGTCCATTTTAGTAGCCAAAAACCTCAGCACTTATTAGCGACTAAAATGTTTTAGCGACTAATTATTTTAGTCGCTGAAAGAGAATTCCATTTTGATTTAATTACTTTTGATGACTAAATAATTGGTTGCCAAAACGTTATGTTTGGCGAGTAAGTCCGTTTCAGTAGCCAAAGATAAGATTATTAGCAACTAAAATTTTTTAGCGACTAAATATTTTAGTCGTTGAAAGAGAATTTCATTTTGATTTAATTACTTTTGACGACTAAATATTTGGTCACCAAAACGTCATGTTTGGCGACTCAGTTCGTTTTAGTAGCGAAAGATAAGATAATTAGCGACCAACATAAATTTGGTTGCCGTTGACTATTGCTGACTAGGCTTTGGTGACCAATGGGGCGACAAATAACTTTAGTCGCCATTGACTTTCGCCGACTAAAAAACAACCTTTGGCGACTAAAAATTTGGTCACCAAAAGTGTAATTTCTTGTAGTGTGCAAACGTAATGATAATCACACATTATATTTATTTATAATTATTTAAGATATTCAAACATCTTATTGCTACAAGTGATGAATTATGGATATAATCTTTTCATGTTTGACATTAACTATCCACAATCACATGCATAGTCGATATTTTTTTCTTCCCAAATATTATACAGTCCCCCAATTTTTCAGATATTTAATTTATTTAAATTTGAAGAAAAAAAGTGTCAATAAATTTTATTCTAATGCCTTTTCTTAGATAATATATTTATATATTTAAAAAATTCAGTTAATCCAACAATGCACACTTCTATGGAAGTTTTGTCATGTTTGGACGATGATAATTTAAAAATAAATAAATAAATAAATAAAAATAAACTTTTTTTTGAAGTGAATTGACATTTGAACAACATGGAACAATTGCCATATCATTATTGTAATTTTTGACTTTTCAAAAGTATTGGGACTAGACCAAATTATTGTTCACTCATTTTAATGATTTTGAAATTTGAATTTTGAATGAATTGGTATGTGAAAGAATTGGATTTAGAATGATATTGGACATTGAGTTTGCATAATTTGCACTACAAGAAAATACATTTTTGGCGACTTAAAAAAATTTAGTTGCCAAAAGTTACAGAATTGGCTACCAAAAATAATATTAGTCGGCAAAAGTGAAATATTTAGATACTAATTTTTTTTTAGAAGGGGAATATTGATTATTGGTGATTAAAAAAAATTTAGTAGCTAAAAATATTACAATTGGCGACTACAAAAATATTTAGTAGCTAAAAATATCACAATTGGCGACTAAAAGAAATTTTAGTAGCCGTAGAGCTAGTTTTAGCTACTAAAATTGTTTAGTAGCCGAATGAAAAGAAAAGAATTATTTTTTATCTTTGGCGACCAAAAATTTTGTGGCCAAAAGTATATTTTCAGCGACAAAAGAATATTTTTGTCGCCGTATAGTTAGTTTTAGCTACTAAAATTGTTTAGTAGCCGAATGAAAAGAAAAAAAAAATAGTTTTATCTTTGGCGACCAAAAGTTTGGTCGCCAAAAGTATATTTATAGCGACAAAAGAATAATTTAGTCGCCAAAAACCTAAATATGTGGAGGGAGATTTCAAATTTCAGACGGATTAAAAAAATAATTAGCGACTAAAAGTATTTAGTCGGTAATGGTGTAATATATATATATATATATATATTTGGTTCCCAGACAACAGACCAGCGCCTCTGTCTCTCTCTCTTCAGTGTTTCTCTCTACCTCTCCCTCTCTCTGCCTCTGCCTCTGCCTCTCCGCTGCTCTTCTTCCCTCCCTCTCTCACTGCCGCACCACCAGCCGTGCCTCCGCCACTCCTCCTCATGGTCGCCGACAACTGGAGCACCGATTGCAGGCTCTCTCTCTCTCTCTCTCTCTCTCTCTCTCTCTCTCTCTCTTTGTGCAGTTCGCATTTTGACACAAAATCTAGGTTGGTGATTAGGTCTTATTCTACACCATTTTTCTGGGTATCGATAGAACCATCAAAGTTTATCTTCATTGAAATCGTATCTTCATTAAAATATTCTTCTACCACTCTCTGTTTCTTCCTCTTCTAGTCTTCTTTGTGTGTATATATATATATATCCATATATACAAATCAAAACCCATTAAAATCTAATGGCTCGTTGCCCCCATGAATTGTTGGTTTGGGAAGTTGTTATGGCTTTTCAATTTGTTTGTTTGTTTGTTTGTTTGTTTTTTGTTTTCTTTTTTTTTTCTTGCCTTCAAACGGTTTGATAAAATGTCTCTTAGGCTTCCCAAAAATCTAATCTACTTTTGTTTACCTATACAATCTTCTAAAATTTTTCTGTTGGGCTGTTTGCAATTTGTGGTTTAGTTGATGGGTTTTTGAGATTCAGTAAAACCCTAGGATTAAATTGGTAATTTATGTTCTTATGGTTGGGTTTTCGAATGTTTTCGATTTTTCTCTATTGGGTTGTTTGGATTTAGAAGAAAATATATATTTAATTTAGTATTGTTTAAATTGTTTTTGCTTTCCAACTCAACCATGCACAGTTGCCTTAAGTCTCAGCTCTACTTTGTTGTATCATCTCGACCCTACAATCAAATGGGTGATTTCAATTATTGTGGGTTTTGATTGTTTTATAGTGAATTTTGATGATGAATATATGAATAAATAAATAATAAAAAAAAAGAGAGAGAAAAGCATGACAATGCTTCAAAAAAAGGTTCACCCTAAATGGTTTGTATAGCTTATATAATAGAATAGATAGAGTAAGAATTGGGTCCAGAATGGGAGTGGAGGATTTCACCAACGTGATCAGACTTCATCTGCGCTGAATATGTTGTTTCGTTTATAAAATAGAATAGATGTGTGTATGAATGAATAAATATATTTCTATTGTGTAATATTTTTCAAAGCCATAGATTCAGTTTATCTCTTTTTTTATTTTTTGAGATGCTCAGAATTTAATAAATGGGGTTTCCACTTTTTCAGGCATAATTAAAGATTTGTATCAGCTTGTGATTCTTTCTTATCATTGCATTGCTTTTCAAATATATATATATATCATTCTACTTGTTAGCTTCTAATATATATATATATATATCTCATCTACATGGATCTACTTGGTAGCTGCTTTTCTTAGCATTGCATTTCCAAGTCTGCTAGCAACTACCTTGACTATTGATGTTGATACAAGTGGATCTCCAACTAGGCTTCAGGTTTGTTGATCAAATTTCTCTGGTTTTTTGGTTTTTAGAGCAAAGAGTTTCATTTATTATAATTGTAACACCAATATTTTGGTTTAGTTTTCACAAATTGTTTTTTGCTTTCTTGTTTTCAGTATTTTTTTCGTTTTTATTGATGTTTTTTTTTTGTTTTTTTTGTTATTAGTGAACTTTTTTTCATGTGACGCCTTCAAAATAACATATTAAACCCATCAATATAGACATGCATTGGTAATAAAGATAAACATTCTTCTATTCATCAGAGTAGTTCTTTACAAAATTATTACATGTTAATCAACAAAAGCAAATGCCCTACGGGCTTACAACTTTCCAAGGTAACACTTGGTTACAACAAAAAGAGTGCTAACTCATTTACACATTAAGCCCTTGGCTTGAATATACATGTAATACATCAAAAGGGAAAAGACAACAAAAAGTCTGCCCGCCTCTAGCCTCCCAAGCTACGTCCTTGGAGGTGACATGCTACCTGTACCTGAAAATGATGTTCCCATATAGGGTGAGCCACAGGCCAGCAGAGATATACTAAACCAACTATGAGCAATGACTAAAAGATTAGCAATTGATAGATGGCCAACACCGATACATCCGCATATATCACGTCACAATTTCATAACATACGAGTCTATGTCACTTTCCATTTTCCATCCTTATTTAATAGATAAGTATATTAGCTATATCAACACATCAACAGATAAACATCTTTCGCATCAACAGATAAGCATATAAGCTGTATCCACACTTCACTAGACAAGCATATGAGCTGTATCTACACTTCACTAGACAAGCATATGAGATGTGTCTACACTTCACTAGACAAGCATATGAGCTGTATCTACACTTCTCAAAGATAAGCCTATGAGCTGTATCTTCACTTCTCTAGACAAGCATATGAGCTGTGTCTACGGAGTTCATCCCCCATCTCCTCCAATCCTATCCGGTTTAGAGGTACATCCCCCATCTTCCCCTAAACCGCGGAGTACATCCCCCATCTCCTCCTCTATACACAATGCATATAAACACAAAGGTTCTATACACAATCAATCAATACATAAAATTAATGTATTCAATCCACCGTCATACTCTATGACACATTCAATCGATTAGTTTTAGTTTGCCTAATCATCATGCATTGTCTACAACAATCAAGACTATCCTCCACTGATAGCCCAAAGCAGTTATTTCTAAACAGAAAATAAATGCACAAAATGGATATTAAATCGACATTTCAATTAGGTGAGCAATAAATGATCCAACCACATCCTTTAACCCCTTTTCTTTCCAATTTCCACATTTCTCAATTCAATCCCTCATTTCCAACAATTAATTATACAAATTAATTAACCAATGTAATTAGGGCATATTCCATAATTAACATCACAACCCTTAGGTTCCATTTTCATTAATGTCTTAACATTAATTTCACATTTTCCATGCCAAACATGCATCTAGGTTTGATATAGTTAAAACCCCAACTCTTGTAAATTTACACAAAAGCCCCCAAACTTTCACAAAATGTGATACAATCAAATAAATATGTTTATTTAATAGTCCGAACGAAGAGGAGTAGGATATCCCTACCTCAAAGTTTGAGCTCCAATGGAGATGAAGACCAAAACCACAATGCTTCAAATTCTGAAATTTTCAGATTAAAATGTAGCCCTCGACGATCAACACAACTTTCGTAAAGACCAAAAGTGAGCAAACAACTCCTACTAGATCAAATCTAAGAGAGAAGGGCCGGTTTTAGAGTGAGAAGCTCTGAAAACGGCTTTTTGGAAAAGTAAGAGAGAGAAAAGATCTTGAAAAAGTGATCCAAAAGTCGGATCTCGGGTTTATATAAAAGTCGCCCCGCTCGAGCGTCACTCACAGACTCCCGCTCGAGCATCAACAATCCCGCTCGAGCGGCGGATACACACTCCTAGAACTTTTGCAGACAGGTCTCCCGCTCGAGCTTCCAACTCCCGGCTCGAGCGGCACTCATACAAACCCGCTCGAGCGGCCAATCCTACGCTCGAGCGTCGAACACAGCACAGGAAATACTGGATGGGTGAAACTCCTGCTCGAGCGCCAAAACCCCCGCTCGAGCGGACAGGTCAAAATCTGGGCAACTAGTTTTGGTTTCTAATCTCAACCAACTGTAACAAATCTACCCAACACATCCTATAACTCAAATACAAAGTAAGAAAGGATGTACACCAGGTAATAATCAACTACTATCATCCACGGACACATGTCCGGACCACTGTACAACAAGGGTAAACCCGGGATCGCTATATTTCATATTTTGATGATTTTTTTTTACAACAATATTTTGGTTCAATTTTCATAAACTGTTTTTTGCTTTCTTGTTTTCAATGTTTTTTGTTTTTTGTTTTTGGTCATTAGTGAATTTTTTTTTTAATATTTTAATGATTCGTTTTGACTTTTTAGATGAATCTAATCTACATGGATCTAAAATATATACATGAAGAAATCTATAAAAAAAAAATAAAAGAAAAAAGTTCACTAAAGATTTTTTTTTCTCTTTAATGAAGTTTATTTTGTTTTTAGATTTCTTCACATATACTTTAATTATTAGTTATAAAAAATCACTAAAAAAAAATTAGTGCAGTAGTACTTGTTTATTGATTGGGGTAATGACTAAACTAAACAACGTGAATTTCTAAATTGGCATCTTTTAATTGCTTATTTCCCCTTTTAGAAGAAAGCCCCATACGTAGAGCTGGCTATGGGCTTGATGGTTTGTCCAGCTCAACTTGATATAATAAAATTTGGTATAAAAGGTTGACAAAGAAAGTAAGATTACGTGTAAAGTATAGAAGTACAAAAGTTGACATTAAACTAAACCCAAAAGGAATCCTTTGGTTGTTGTGTAATGGATTTCAATATCAATCCATTTGTTGTTGTTTCCTTTTTTGGTTTTGGTTTTGAAGAGATATCACCCAGCAAGGGTACTAACCCTAGTTTATCAACCATTTGCGCTTGGAACAACTGCAATACTTGCACACAATGAATCCAAGGTTGACACAAGGAGGCGCAACTTGACTGGTTACATTCGTTTCTTTATAAGCTCTTTGGCTCTCTTAGTTGTAAGTACTGCAATGACTCCTTTTTGTATTAATGTTTGGTTTCACAAATTAATAAACAAAACAACCAAATTAAGAAAAAATTATGAGATAAAAATGAAGGGAGGGTGCATTTGACTAATGATATTATAGTTAGGCAGAGTTGCATGTGGGCAAGTAAAATATAATTGGAAAAACTTCACTGTACCCCTGTGATTTGGGTTATATACGGTTTACCTTCTAATGTTTGGACATGACCACATAACTCTCATGTGGTTTGTAAACTAAAATGCACCGTTAGCTTTTATGTCCAATATAACAAGATGTGAAAACCACACGCCTCGGTAGAGAGTAAGTCAATTTTTATGACAAAAATATCCACTCTACATCTTCAAATTTATAGAATTTGCCATTATTCTTCTACTGTATTCACTATTTCTCTCTCTCCTCTGTTTCTTCTATTTCATTGCTAATTTTATTTTCTTTTTTCTTTGTTCTCTTTTCAGTTCTCCTTCTCCTCTTCTCCATTCTTCCTCAAAAGAGTAGAAGAGGAAGAAGAAAAAGGCATAAAGGTCAACTTACATATTTTGATAATAGAAGCTAGCGTGCTTTTGAGTTCACAAATTACATAAGGGTTATGTGCTTATTTCCAAATAATATGGGGGCAATCCACACATGAGCCAAACTATAAAGGAATAAAGTGAAGTTTGCCCAACATAATTTTAATCTTCATAAAGGGAGGTTGGGTTGGATTGGCAAATTTTAACACACAAGTCAATCAACTGCTCAATTTTTATCATCTAACTCACCAAAACCCAACCCTCTCTTAAATTTCATCATCTAGTTTCCTTGACAGTTAGGTTCAGCAACATCAGGAAAAGGAAACATTGGAAATTATACTGGTATATGCATCATTGTAGCTACTTTGGGAGTTGCAGATGGCCATGTTCAAGGAGGGATGGTTGGAGACCTATCCTTCATGTGCCCTACGTTCATCCAAGTAAGCCTTTCAAAGTGTATTATTTCTTTCAAGTTAATTATATTTAGGAAGACTTACGTGTAGATCTTAATTGGTAGTTTACCCTTATATTTAGTTTACCCTTATATTTAATACTCTCATATTTTTATTAAAATTTGATTTTTTTTAAGTTCTCTACTTTTAATTGTGACACGTAAGTCTTATATTTTATACCAATTTACCTTCCATCTATTTAGTATTAATAAGGATGACGAAATCTGTCATTGAAGTCATAACACTTATATACTCTTACTAAAATTTTACTTTAGTTGTTCCTTTTACTTTCTCCAAAATCTCACTATAGGTCCATCCATCTATTGTTAATCATCTACTGTCAATCTCATTAATAGTAGATAGATGGAAGTAGTGGTGGAGCTACAAGAATTATTTTAGGAGAGGCACTTGTTAATCACAAATTTAAAATTAAAAAAAAATCAATAAACAGCAACAATAATATAATAGAATTTTTTAAAATTAATAGTAAACACAAAACATAAATATTTATTACAAAAAAATACTTTGCTAAGAAATGAAAGTGTAAACAATAATATTATAATGACCACATTTTTATACTACATTGAGTTTATCATTATGTTTTTAACACTACATTGTAAACAAATATAAGTGATGAAACTTATTCAACCAATCTAGTGGTGACAATTCACATGGTACTTCAAATGCGGTGTAAAAGTATGATTATTGTAACATTATTAGCAGGCAAATTACACACATGGTTTACATATTTCAAATTCTATGTTAATCCCTCAATCTCTTTGAGAGTGAATAGATCATTTTTTTTATTCTTAATTTGTGTTAATTTATTAATGGGCATTACTAATTGTATTAAATTGACATAATGTGAAAAAATAAAAGATAAATTGATGTAATTGAAACTATAGAATCAAATTGGAGTGAACAATCTGTAAGGACCACATGTTTAATTTTCCCAACAAGAAAAAATAAGAAGAAGAAAAAAATAGAGAACAGAGAAAGGACAAAGAGTAATTTTTTAATTTAGAGTTCTTATGTGATTGTAATAAATCAAAAGTTAATACATTACTTGACATGTCATTGTGAGACTTAAATTGTAAGTCTTAATTTTTTTCAATTAGGAAGGGCCGTTAAATATTAATTTTTAAAGGATCTTATATAAACTAAGGTGGGCACAATTATAATTTTTAAGGGTCAAAACAAAAATATTTTGCAAATATATAGGTACTAGTGTAATTATAAAAATCTGAGGAGGGGCACGTGCCCCACCTAGTCCCTTCTTCCCTTCGTCTCTGGATGGAAGGGTGTCATTACAACTTGATTTCAAATGTAAGTGATTAATCGTCAAAATTAAAAATGAAACATCCAAAGTGAGATTTTGGCGAAATCACACAAATGTAAAAGTATAACCACTCAGCTTTTTCTTTTTCTTTTTTTCTTTCAATTCTTAGAATAAATTTGCTTACTACATGAATATTTTTTGTAATGAATTTTTGGCAGTCATTCCAAGCTGGTTTTGCTGCATCAAGGGCTCTCACATCGACATTGAGACTAATGACAAAAGCAGCCTTTGAAAGAACTGATAATGGCCTTTCCAAGGGAGCCAGTATGAAATATTTCCCTCTCTTATAAACATCCTTTTTGGAGTTAATTATGTTTTTCATTTTTGTAATTTGAATCAAATTTTATTTTGATCCTCATAGTTTTAACTTGAACAGTTTAATCCTTACAATTCAAAATTAGTTTTAGTTTAGTCACCCACCTCAAAAGTATAAACTTGGGATATATAGAGCAACTAGATTCATATGTTGTATGTACTCAAATTGAAAATCAAAAATTTTATTTCATATATGTTCGAGTATGCAAAACTAATGATTAATTTCAAAAGATTACTTAATTTCGAGTTTTATATGTTTTTTTTATAATTTTAAATTGGCCAATATTTAGTCAATACTAATGATTAATTTTTATTTTTTTATTTTTATTTTTTTTGCGGATGGTTTTTGACGTACAAATGTGGATGACTTTTTTTGACAAGTACGGAAGGACATTGTTTTTATATCTTTGTCTGTATATATAGTGGTTCATACAAATTAGTTTTTTTGCGTGGTAAATATCTAAAATTTGGCCTGATAGAAATTAGCATTGAATGTGGTACAAATTAGTTTTTGGGGCGGTACAAAATAAATTTTTGGTGTGGTATAGATTTCCTTTTGGATATTAAATTTGGTTAATCCTCTATTATGTATGGAATTAAATTATTGGGGCTTGGATTATACTTGGTTCGTATGGAATTTGTATTACATTTAGAATTGGACGTTGAATATAAATTTTTTGGATGGTTGGAAGTAAAATGTGTGCACGTTGTTGAATGGTTGCTAATATATTCAGTATTGATGAATTATATCGTTTATACAAGGTACAGGTTGCACTAATAATGGATACAAGTGGTTCAGAAAGTAAAAAAAGAAATTTAATATAGTATTTGGTGACTAAATATGTTGGTAGCCAAAAATGTAAGAAAATGTTTTGGTGACCAATAATTTAGTAGCAAAAAATAACCAAATGGCTTTTTGCGACCAAAGACATAGTAGCTAAAAAAAATTAGAATGAGGGAAGTTTAATTGCCCACTAAATATTTTAGTCACTAAAAACATAACATCCTTTGGCGACTAAAATGTTTGGTCACTAAATGTACGTATTCTATTAGCGACTAAAATTTTAGTCTCTAATAGTTTAATTTAGTTTTATGTGAGAACTTTCGGCGACTAATATTTTAGTCGCCAAAAGATACCTTTGCCGACTAACCAAAGTTTAGTAGCCAAAAGTTCAATTTCGGCGACCAATAATTTAGTCACCAAAAGATCACCTTTCCCGACTAACCAAAGTTTAGTAGCCAAATGTTTTACTTTCGGCGACCAAAAATGGTTTAGTCGCCCATACTATCGCTGACAGGGTATAGGCGACTAACTTGGTGACAAAAAAATTTAGTCGCTAATTAGATTCAGTGACCAAAAATGGGACTTTTGGCGACCAATATTTTGGTCGCCAAAACTGTTATTTCCTGTAGTGTTGGTTGGTTTACAGTTTCCCTTCAATTTTATTTATTTATTTATGTACAATTTGTTTGCTATAGTTACATATATCTATTCTCTACTACTATTATAAAGTGTGAAGAATTTTTCATATTTTCTACTTTTTTGGGTTTTATTTTTATCTTTTCTCCCACCTTTAGAAGAATAAAGCATAGGCATTTCTTCCTATGGTTAGAAGTTTCTGAACGGCAACTATCCCGGTTTCATATAGAAATTTATATAGAATCTTTGAAAAAGACTTTCCTTCATAAGAAAGAAAAGACTTGCCATCTTTGGGATCTGATGCTACACCGCTGCTCAATAGCTTAGTGCATCAACTCTATTACATAAGTTGATTCCTAACTTTCCTTAGTGTTTTCCAAGACAGAACTTTTACTTGTTCAAATAACAATTAAGGTGAAGCAGGAAAAGGAGGGAAAGGGATACTCAATTTAAAGTGAGTAAACAGAATTTCATACTCGATCTCATAGAGAAATATAGAATTCTGTGGAAAGTTGTATTCAATGAAAGTCGTATGTACGGCTTGGAGAGAGATCTTCCACATCTTTTGAGATCCACCCTACAATATGGGGTAAAAAAGCCAAAATAAGTGATTTTAGCCCATATAAAAAGAAAACGGATTCTTGAATGTCTTTTACGCTCATGTCACATCGAGGTACAACAAAGAAAAAACTGCAAAATCTGATCCAATTTATTGCAATCGATTAGTTAATATGTTGGTTAACTATATTCTGAAACATGAAAAAAAAAATCATTGGCTTATCAAATTATTTATTGAGACATGAAAATGATTCAACAAAAGACAAATAAATCCACTATCTGTTTTACGTCAAGCAATACGTGAAGTAACCCCCGATATAGCAGTAAAAGCAAGACGTGTAGGTGGATTGACTCATCAAGTTCCCATTGAAATAAAATCCACTCAAGGAAAAGCGCTTGTCATTCATTGGTTACTAGCAAAATCCCGAAAACTTCTAGGTCGAAATATGGTTTTCAAATTAAGTTCCAAATTAGTGGATGCTGCTAAAGGGAGTGGCGAGGCCATACGCAAAAAGGAAAAGACTCATAAAAGATCAAACAATTCCATTGACTTGAGTATGATTGTATATGTGATAACATCTACTATATATCAGGAATATCAATGAACCAGATTATTGCAATTGCTCAAGATACCCTTTTTTAACTCTGTCGGGGTTGTTAACAACTCCGCCAGTCCCAAGCCCGGGTTAAGGAGGAGGGTTGTGTGTTAGGTAGCCGACAGCCAACACGTAAAAAAGCCGCTCGGATCCCTTATGAAAATGAATCCTACTTTGAATCGTTTAAATGCTAGGTCGTTCCCCTCAAGTGACGCGTTGCGCCTGCCTCCGGGTGTTTCGAAAAGTGAGCAAGGGGCGCCGCATCGACGCCTGGGTGCGGTGAAAAATGGGCAAAGGTTTCCGCGTTTTTCTGGACGAGCGCGGGTAAAGAAGCTAGTCCAAGACTATAGGTTTAGGATAGCCACTTGGAACATAGGAACCTTAACTGGTAGGACGATGGAATTAGTAGATGTTATGATTAGGAGGAGAGTTAGTATAGCTTGCATACAAGAAACTAAGTGGACGGGAGAGAAAGCTAGGGAAATTGAGGATACTGGTTTTAAACTTTATTATAGTGGTAAGGATAGACGCAGGAATGGGGTAGGAATCATAATTGCCAAGGGTCTTGTGGAAAGTGTGGTGGCGGTCATTAGGAAAGGAGATAGGATTATGCTAGTTAAATTAGTTATTGGAGGGAATATAGTGAACAGTATTAGCGCTTACGCCCCTCAAGTAGGGTTAGATGATCAGACTAAGAGGGATTTTTGGGAGCACATGGATGAGATCTTACAGGAGATACCCGTAGGAGAGAACCTGGTTATAGGTGGAGATTTTAATGGCCATGTGGGCATAGATAAACTAGGTTATGAAAGGGTGCATGGTGGATACGATTTTGGTGACAGAAATGAGGCTGGAGAGAGAATCTTAGATTTTACGTTGGCTTCTGACCTGGTGATGGCCAATACTATGTATAAGAAGAGGGAGGAGCATTTGATAACCTTTAAGAGTGGATTAGTTAAGAGCCAAATAGATAATTTCTTAGTGAGAAAAGTGGACTGCCTAAAATGCAATGATTGTAAGGTGATTCCTAGAGAGAGTCTGGTCTCTCAACATAGGATTTTAGTACTAGATTTATGTTTTAGAGGGAAATACCAAGCTAAGAAGGATGATGGGCGTCGTAGGACGAGATAGTGGGACTTAAAAGGGGATAAACTAAAAATATTTAAGAATCGAATGGATAAGGAAGGTACTTGGGACTTAGAAGGTGATGCTAACACTATGTGGAATTCGATGGCCAATTGTATGAGAAGAATCTCAAGGGAAGTGCTTGGAAAGTCGAAAGGAATGGGACCCAACTCTAGGGAAACTTGGTGGTGGAGGGAAGAGGTCCAAACGGTAGTTAAGTCAAAAAAAGAGTGCTTTAAAAAGTAGCAGAAGGATAGAACTGAGGAAAACCTTAAAAGCTATAGATTGGCTAATAAGGAGGCTACAAGGAAAGGTAATCTGAAGTTGATTTTGCTTTTACTTGAAGCTTGTTCAATGCTTTTAATGTGATAGAAACTGTGTTTGTTTCTCCCATCCAGGTTAAGTAATGGGGGATTTATTGTGAGATCAGAGAGAATGGAAGCTAAAATGATACAATTATACAAACAGAGGTGATTCTGTCTTACCTTAGGAAGCAAACTACAAATGCTAAATTGTTTGCCTGTTGAATATTCATTTTTGGCCTTTACTATGTTCATCATTACCAGCTTGAATATAAATTTCAGTTTGTCTATAAATTTCAGACTAAAATGATTAGTTTATTGACAAACTAAATGATGATTTTTTTACTTCATTAGTTTGGAGAAACTGACACTACAATGTCAATAAAATGACTTACTTTATTAGTTTGGAAAATGGTTCAGATTTGGACACTATGGATGTTACAACCACTGTTTTCTTAGGTAGCTATCAGTAGCCGACCCCATTTGATGGGACTTAAGGCTTGGTTTGGTTTGGTATATATATATATATAAGTAGAAAAGTGAAGAATAGTTATCAAAGAATTGATGCAATTATTTGATCATGCAAAAATAATTTAGGTAAGTAAAATACGTTATATACTTTCGTCTACACCAACTGAAGTGTTATAATAAATAAATAAATATATATATATATATATAAAATATTTAATTACTGTGGGGTTACACCAAGGATCAACTTTAAGTCCTTATCTTTTTATTTTAGTTATGGATGAGTTGACGAGAAATATTCAAGATGATATGCCATGATATATACTTTTTACAGATGATATTATGTTAGTGGATGAGACTAGAGAATGAGTTAACACTAAGCTAGAGACGTGGAGAGAAACACTTGAATCTAAAAGATTTAGGATAAGTAGAACTAAGACAGAATACATAGTGTAAATGTAAATTTAGTAACAGTAACAATGAAAGCAGAGGAGAAGTGAAGATTGAGAACCAAGAACTGCCTAAGAGTGAACATTTTCGTTATTTAGGGTCGATTATCACAACAGCGGGAGAGATTGATGCAGATGTGGCCCATAGGATTAAGGCGGGATGGTGTAAGTGGAGAAGTGCGTCTGGGGTATTGTGCGATAAACGAATACCCACTAGACTAAAAGGTAAGTTTTATAGAACGGCTATTAGACCAGCTATGTTGTATGGGACGGAGTGTTGGGCAACTAAGAAACAACATGTAGATAAGATGAGTGTGGCTGAGATGAGGATGCTAAGGTGGATGTGTGGTAAGACTAGACAGGACAGGATTAGGAATGAGTGTATTCGGGAATGGGTAGGAGTAGCACCGATAGAAGATAAGTTGAGAGAGAATCGTTTGAGATGGTTTGGTCATATTCAACGGAGACCAACAGAGGCAGTAGTGAAGAGATGCGATGCTGTACCGGTAGATGGAAGTGTTAGGGGACGAGGTAGGCCTAGATTAACGTTAACTAGCGTTATAAATAGAGATATGAATCTACTTAATTTGACCAATGAAATGGCCTTTGATAGGGCCGCGTGGAGAAGAAGGATTCATGTAGCCGACCCCATTTGATGGGACTTAAGGCTTCGTTTGGTTTGGTTTGGTTTCTCAAGATACCCTTTTTTAGCTTCTAGGGTCTATTTCTTAGTTCAAGATCCCTCTTACTAACTGGAATTAAAGAAT